ATCAAAATACTAAAACACACAAGTCTTCACATGAAAATAAAAATGTTTCTTATCTTTTTGAATCACAATTCTCTTCTCTAGAAGCTTGCACTATGAAAGGGATTGCAGGAAATGATTTCAACTTGGTTTTTATTTTGAATTGGTGTTATGTGAGTAGTTGTTGTTAAGTGCCATCGAGTCGATTCCAACCAATAGCGACCCTGTATAGTGTTTCCAAGGAGCAGCTGGTGAGTTAGTACTTATTTATTTTCTGTGGAAAAATTAACAAAATTAAGGAATAAATGAACTCTGGTGTAGTGCTGTATGATAAGCACTGCACTGCTAACTGCAAGGTCGGCAGTTCAAACCCACCAGCCGCTCTCAGAAACCCTATACAGGGTCACTATGAGTTGAAATCAACTGGACAGTATACAGCAACAGTAACAACAAGGTGCAAATATTCCTTTTCTCAAAATATGTGACTTTTTTTCCATAATGCTGTAAAGCGTGATATAAAATAAGTTGGGTCCTTACTAAAGTCTCTGTGTAGAAACTTCCCGAGGACTTGGTTGGGCATGAAATCAAATTCACCATGAGGCCCACCTCCCTTTCCTTCAGTCACTTTTAGAAGTAGGCTTTTCCCCTAGTCAGTGCCCTCACTTAGTGGTTCTTTCCATTAAGTGCTTGGCCTCTACCAAAAAGGTTGGCAGTTCAAACCCATCCACCCATTACACTATAGAAAACCCTATGAGGCAATTCTAGTCCATGGTACTTAACAATATCTATTTATCTATCTCTCCCTGATTCCTGGTATGGCACTGTAGGATAAGCACTCGACTGTTAACCTCAAGGTTGGTGGTTCAAACTCACCAACTGCTTCAGAAACTGTATATAAGGTACTATGAGTCAGAATCAACTTGAGGACATTTAACACAACAACTCACATCCCTAAGCAGTCCTGGTAGCATGGTGGATTACCAGCTGGACTGCTACCAGCAAGGTCAGTAGTTCAAACCTACCAGTGACTCTGCAGGAGAAAGATACGGCTGTCTGCTCCCATAAATATTTAGAACCTTGGAAACCCTATACAGGATTGCTGTGAGTCGGAAAGCACTCAGTGGCACATAGCTACTACCACTAACTCCCATTCCTACAGTCCCAAACGACTTTGTTAACCGGACAACAACCTAGTCCGCCATCCTTTTTGGATAGAGTTCAAACCCTCCCACAGTCTCTTTGTAACCTTCAGGAGAATTGTGGCCACTCAAATAACAGGGATTTCAGACATGACCACCACAGAGTCAGCAGTGACATCGTTGTTCTTAGTAAAACCTTCTAGTTTCTTTCCAGTATCTTTCAATAGCGTGTTTGTTCCAATGTTGTTGTTGTTTACCGGCGTCAAGTCAGAACCATAACAGTGATCCTGTATAGAGTTTCAGGGAGTCCTGATGTGGAACTGTAAGATAATCACAGGTCTGCTAACTGCAAGGTCGATGGTTCAAAATCACAAAGTTGGCAGTTCAAACCCATCAACCGCTCCTGGGCAACTCTACAGGGTTGTGATGAGTTGAAATTGACTCAACAGCACTTAACAACAACAATGAATTTCTCAGGAGTGACTGGTGGATTTGAACCTCTGACCTGTGGTTAGCAGCCCAGTTTTATTCTACTGTGCCACACCAGGTCTTCTTCCAATAAAACCCCCAAACCCAACCTGCTGTCTAGTAGAACTATTCCATTTGGCTTCTCAGTCTTTCCTGGAGCAGGCAGACTCGTCCTTCCTTCTCCATGAAGTGATGATGGGTTTGAACTGGCCACCTTGAGGTTAGCAACCCAGTGCTTAACACACTGCACCAGCCTGAGTGGAAATGGGCAACCAGTAATCTTTTCGCTCTACATCCTATTCTTTCTCTCCCCTGCCAACGAGGCCTTTAGGGCTTGAAACAGCAACTGTCAAGAGTCTTAAGGGACCGGTGGATTTAAGCTAGGATTAAACTCTACCACATAGTCTAATTATGAGATTTTAGATTCAAAACTGATTCTCTGCCCCCAGATACCTGCCAAGTGCGCAACCAGCTCAGAGGACTCATTGTCTTCCTGGCTCCCCTTAGGAGTTAACAAACAAGGTGGAATGTAAAACACATGTCTTCTTGCTGCCAAAAGAGCTGCCAAGTCTGCCTGCCTAGATGTGTAAGATCCCATGAAATGTCTTGGCTAAAGCTCACCCAGGAGTGTTGGCCAGGGTGCTGAATGGAGAGAGATATACCTTTGCTGGTGAATGCCTGCCCCCCACATCCCTGGTTTTAAGACACTGGAATTCATAATTTTGGCAAGCTACCCTAGGATTTCAAATCTGACATCATTTCAGAGAAAATGGTGTATCTGTGTGTATGTGTACAAGGCTATCTGGAATAAAAATTCTTGATAGCAATACGAGCACTACCAAAATTCTAGGAGAGAGCGCCCTTCAAATCCGAACAGAAATAGACAAACACATTTATATGCTGTTTATTCCATTTGGGTGCTAATTATTTCTTTCGCACTTCATTATTGAGATTCATTAAAATGAAAAACTCACAAAATATTATTACTGTAAAGCAAGGGTATGTTAACAGAAGGGACCTGTCCCTAGACAAGAACAGCATGTTTGGTAAAGTAGGCCAGCAAAAAAGAGGAAGACCGTCACTGAGATTGACTCAGACACAGTACCCATGGTGAGGATGGCACAGGACCAGGCAGGGATTCATGGGACATTGGGTCACTACGAGTTGGAAAAGACTCAAAGGAACCTAATGACAACAAAAGCAAATGACAGGCAGGGAGAATGACAAAGCCACAATCCTGAATGATTGCTCAAAAGCAAATTATTTCCCCTGCATGTCTGACAAATTTCATATTATTTCTTCTCTTGAATTGGTTCTTTTCCAAATGTACTTGACAGTTTGTCCTTTCTGGCCCTGAAAATGTACTCACTGATACCAGAGTCACATGCAGCCCTTAGCACCAGGTTAGCTAACAGATGAATCACGCCTGGCTAATTGCAGGCTGCAGTCAGTGACAAGTCAAAGAAGGCACCCTGGCCACCAACTCCTTTCACACCACAATCACCCCCACCCTCTGGGGCAGCCGATGCCTCTTTCCTCTGCCAGGCAATTGGCTTCCGTTCTCTTCAACTTTCTGACCTCAGGCTTTAGAGAAAAGCTTTGGCTGTGGGAACAGGTTCTGGGCAGCTCTTGGCTCCCACTTCCCTGGTGACTAGAAAGAGTAACACTTTCTTAGACACTTTTAAAAGAAGTCATTTAATTACTAATGATATTTTGTGGCGAAAAGGAAAATCAAACACAACGTGGAATTCCGGTCCAACAGAGACTGGCCAAGTGCAAGCTTCAGTAAAGCAGCTCCTGCTTCATCTCTATCCCACTAGGGCTGATTGTCCACCCTCCCCCACTTCTCCTCTGGAGTGTGACACCCTGCTGGAATTTATGAATATCTGGAGAGCCCGTGGCATCACTAAAGGGATGTGGAGAGGAGGAGGGGAGGGGTACGGACAGCACCAAGTGCCGCTGTCAGAGGGGATGGCATCAAAATGACTGTCTATAAACGTTTTGTAATGTGCTTTATTATTTTATATAAACAGATCCCTGTTGTTAGTTTTAACATAATAAATATGTTTCCTATTAAGCCCAGCATCTGTGTATTAATTAATATACCTACAAAGCTAAAACTCTACACTAAACTACTTTTTGAACCTTCTCTAAAGCGCTTTGGTTAGGTTTCTCATTATTGCCCAATTGAAATGACCCTTCAGATCATGTGGTTTCATCTGCACAGGCTGCGAGTTGTTTTCATTGTGCCAGGCATTTTCTACTCACTGATTTTGTCAATGTTCTGGTGTTTTAGTTACACTATTGTGGCAACTTGTACTTGTGAGCCTGTAGGGCAATCTGTTATTTTACTTGAGGATGAAATAATTAAAGGAAAAGAAGGTGAAAACCTTTTGACGAGACTTACACTCAGTTACTAATAATGTAACTAATAACGTAATTCGATGATTTTCACAAGCAATTTTGTGGCTAGTGTTCATATACTCTAAGAAATGTTATCTTTTAAGCAATTTACAACGATTTGATTTAAATGTATAATATATATTGCAAAGGATCTTTCATGCTCTAGAAAGCGAGGTTGCCCATTGGGGTGTGAGGGTGGTGATGAGCTGGGTAACCCCAACGTTAGTGAGGCCTAGGTGGAGAAGCATGGGCATGATTTGGGCATCAAAGGAGATTGCTCCAGGGATTCCCCTCGGAAAGCACCCTTCTCTTGGAAGGCACTTCAATGAGGAAGTAAGGAGGAGTAAAGGAGCTAAGCAGCAATGCGTTCTTGGCGGGAGAGCCCCGTGAAACATCTTAGAAATATACCAAAAATCACTGGATACCAAAGGATCCACGTCTTCCTTCAACCTGTTCCTTCAGCCCCGTCTGTAATCATATGAATTGGTGCGTGGATTTTTATCCCCATGATGCAAAGTCCATTTATTCACCCAATAGAGTTAATATGGGGCTCCCAGTTCTACGCAAGGCAGGGAGCTTGAAATCCATCCTCTGGAGCCTGTCTCTGCGCACCACTCTCCAGGGCGCTAGGAGCGCACAGACCCTCTGTGGACCTAGGGGCTCTGTTCTGTCGACACCCGTCCCCGGGACCCTGGCATCCTTGCCACTGAAAGCAAATGTGGCTCTCGGATGTATTGCCGCCACTAACGCCATCCCTAAATCACTTCTGCCTCCCTCGCAGCTGCCCCTCTGCGCGCCCCGCATTCCCCAAAGCGCCCCCACTCTTGCCTCGGTAGACGCTGTCCCGCAAAGGTTGCGCCGAGGGCGCCTGCAAAGGCGAGGAAGAAGGGACGCTCAGAAAGAAACCGGCGAACGACTGGGAAGTGGCACGCGGGGTGCACCCGGAGACCAGGCTCGGGGCCCCAGCCCGCCGCCCGTAGCACGCGGGGAGGCGCGGAGGAAGCATCTACTCACCCGATGCTGCTGCCGATTGCTGACGGCCACCGCGGCGGCGGAGGCGGCGCTGTGCCTGAGCTCGGCCGCCTGCCCGGGTCTCAGCAGGCTGCGGGTGAACCTGCGGGTCCGCTCGCCGGCCATTGCCGGCCCCGAGCGCGCGGGCCGCTGGCTTCCCCACGCCGACCTCTCTCTCCACCGCCGCTCAGGAAGCGGAACTCAGCTTCTTTCCGCCCCTCTTCCTCGCTCAACTCTCTAGAGGCGGGTTTTCCTCGCTGGCACCCCCTCTTCCTCCACCCCTCGCCTGGGCTCCAGCTTCCCACCGACTTTCAAACTCTGCGCTCTCCTGCGCGCGCGGCCCACTTGGCGGGCGGCCCCGGCCGGCGGTGGCGCATCTGCAGCCTGGCCCGCGACGCGCGTGGGGCGACTCCAGTCCGCGCCGCCCACCGGGCTCAGCTGGCGGGCCTTGGCTGCCCAGCCACCCCCACCCGCGAACCCCCAAGAAGGGCATCAGCTGGGAAGGCGCGTGGACGCCGCACAGGGCCAGGGTGGGACTACCCACCCTTCATTCCCACTTAGAAGCTGATGGGAGGGCGGGAGCCCGGGCCATCTCCTTTGATGTGGCATTGACTTTCCCGCGTTGGCGAATGGGTTCAGGCCAACTTTTGTGGTTCTTCCACTGAGAGAAGTAGTCGGAAGCTTAAGAAGGGTCTGGTGACTGCAGTGCTCACAGCTCAGCTCAAGCCATCATTTCAAAGTTTCCTTTGCCCTAAGTTATCACTCACAGCTGTGGAATAAGCTTCCAGATAAATTCATGAATTGCCTGGTATATGATAGCATGAAGTCCAGTGTGATGCTGTAGAACAAATACTGGACTGCTAACAGCAAGATTAGCGTTCAAATCTACCAGGCGCTCCTTTGATGCCCCTATATATGGTCGGTATGTGTTGAACAGTCGCCAAGGCACCACCAACAACAATAAGATATACTAGCACGTACTGTTCTGGCGAATATGGCTTCTGTGGGTCTGATATGTTTTTTGGGGTGGGTGCAAGGGTGGATAACAAACAGCTAAGTAAATACATAAACATAAATGAAAGAACAAGAAAGTTTCAGAAAATAATAAAACCCAAAACCAAAGCAGTAAGTCAGGGTCGTCCGGTATGAGGCTGGGAGTGGAGGGTAGTTAGATACCAGGCAAGAACTAACTGGTGTGTGTGTGGGGGAGGGGGTGGCTTCTAAATAGGGTGGGTCAGGTTTGAGATAAGACAACATTCGTGTCGTTTTTCTGCTCTTACTCCCCACACAGCCATCTGGTCTGCATTTTATCTCCAGCTATCTGATTAAAGTTTTCCATGCATTCTTATCCTAAGTCACACAGGGAGTATGTTCTCCAATTTGGTGTTGGGCTGTGTAGCTGGATGTCCAGCCCTGTCCCCAGGACACTAGCCCGGAGAGAGCTGGGCCAGCCTCTCCAAGTATTTTGGACTGTTACAGATGTGACCTTGACATTTTCCAAAGCCAATAACAACACAGTTTTAACACTAGGTCACATTTGACTGTAAAATATTCTGATGTGGCTAATGAATGTGGTCAAGTCAGTGCTCCACTTCTTGAGCCTTCTTGTTGCTATCAAACCACCCTTAGCACAACAAGTCGGACCCCATCACTGTACTTTCTAGAACTCATCCTGGCCACAGACATGGGGTGATTTGAGAAGCACCAGTGTAAGAAGTCATTGCATCCTGCATTATATTCTTTCATGAGCCATGTGGGGACACTTGGGGTCAATATGAGGTCAGCTGTAAGACTAAGCAAAGTAGGTGGTTGTTTCTGTGGTGGCATTTGAACTGTTCTGTGGGAGGCACACTTTCCTGTCGCATTCTTCAAGGGTGCCCTGTGGCCATGTCTTAAAAATGCATGTTTTCTTGGGCAAATAACCCATGAAATATTTTGAATGGACTTGACCTTCCCAAGAAAAGGTATCTGTCTAGTCTTTCTCCCTGGTGTCAGAACAATGTCTGGCACATAGTAGGTTCTGAATTTCCCTCAAGTTCCCTTGGTGCTGGGGCAACCACTGAAGCAGGAAAAGACACCGAAAGCAGAGAAGGGGAGTGTTATAGTTACTGCAGATACATTCTCATGTGTCCTGGTGATGACAACTCACGGATTCAAATACTGGTTTACCCCACAAGCCATTTTTTTAACCATCTGGAGTAACTCAATTCTCTATTACTACTGGTTTTACTTTCTCAAGTTCCAGGGGTCTCCCATGCACACATGTTAAGAATTGAATCAACTTGTGTACATTTGCCCTAACCGATCTACAGGATGTTAAGTCGGCCACCATGCGGAAAAGAGATGATGTACATGTAACTGCAGAACGTTTCACACCCAGAAAACTGTCACATGGGCCTCTTCTCAGCTCTTGACAATTCTGTGGACTTCAGTGAAGTCTCTCTGCATCCCACTGAGTGTACAGGTGAGTGAGTTGTCTGCTCACCACACCCCACACCCCTCACCCATCTGGTCATTGACACACACATTCTCTGTTACAGTAGAAAGAACTTCAGTTCGTTATCTCTTCTTTGGTCACCAACTTGGCTAGAATAGTTTGTAAGAACAAATCTACAAAAATGTTGTAAAGTAGGTGAAGGGTTTTGTTTCATGTTTTCACTTGAACTCAATCCTTCATGTTGTCTATGGATAAAGGGACAAGGGATTAAATCTGATAATGTGTTTGTTTGGGGTTTTAGAGGACCGATCACTACTCCAAAGAAATTATACTGAAAGTAACATGAATTGAATGTAAAGCTCCCTGCCAGGAGACATATTTTGCCTACTATACACATATATGACATCAAGAAGATCATACACGATGAAAGCAAAAGGTCATTAAATTGACAGGAAAGGAAGACAAGACCACAGTGGATGTCAGAAGAGACTCTGAAACTTGCTACTGAACATAAAGAAGCCAACTAGAAGAAATGACGAAGTAAAAGAACTGAACAGAACATTTCAAAGCTTAAGAAGACAAAGTAAAGTATTATGATTAAAGGTGCAAAGACCTGAAGTTAGAAAACAGAAAGGGAAGAAGATATTCAGCTTTTCTCAAGCTGAAGGAACTGAAGAAATTTAAGCCTTGAGTTTCAATATTGAAGAATTCTATGGGCAAAATATTGAATGCTGCAGGAAGCATCAAAAGAAGATAGCTGGAAATAATACACCATACCATAAAGAACTGGTTGACATTTAATCATTTCAGGAGGTAGTATATTATCAAGAACCAATGGTATTTAAAGAAGAGATCCAAGATGCACTGAAACCTTTATTTAAAAACAAAACTCCAGGAATAGACTGAATATCTATTGAAGTGTTTCAACAGAGGATACAGCACACAAATCACTCACTGCTCTATGACAAGAATTTGGAAGACAGCAACCCAGCCAACCTATTGGAAATAATCCATATTTGTGCCCATTGAGAAGACAGGTGGCCCAACAGAATGTGGAAATGATTAAGCATTATCATTAATATATAATGTAAGTAAAATTTTGCTGATGGTAATTCTAAAACAGTTGCAGTACTACATCAACAGGAAGCTTCCAGAAATTAAAGCCTGATTGAGAACAAAGGATAAAACAAAGGATCCAATGCTGACGTCAGGTGGATCTTTACTGAAAGCAGAAAGGTGTTTATTTGTATTTTACTGACTATGCAAAGGCATTCGACTGTGCGGATCACAATAACCTGTGGATAACATTATGGAGAATGGGAATTTCAAAATACATAATTGTGTTCATGTGGAACCTGTATGTAGACCCAGAGGCATCCTTTGAACAGATCAAGCAGACACTGAAAGGCTTAAAATCAGGAAAGCTATGTGTCAGGGTTGTAACCTCCCGCCATACTTACTCCATCTGTAAACTGAGCAAATAACCAGAGAAGCCAGACTATATGAAGGAGAACACAGCATCAAGATTACAGGAAGGCTCCCTAACAACCTGTGATAGGCAAATGACACAACCTTGCTTGCTGAAATCAAAGAGGACTGGAAGCACTTCTGATGAAGATAAAAAGAATGTAGTCTTCTTTGTGAATTGCAAATAAAATGTAAATAAAACAAAAGTCCTCACAACTGGACTAATAAACAACATCAAGGGAAAATGGAGAGAAGACTGAAGTTATCTGGGATTTCATTTTGCTTGGACCCATAGTCAATGCTCCTGGTGACAGTAGTCCAGAAATCCAAGGACATTCCACATTGGGCAAATCTGTTGTCAAAGAGTAAATATGGCACTTTGAGGATAAAGGTGTGCCTGAACCTAAGCCATGGTATTTCCAGCATGTGAAAGCTGGACAATGAATAGGAAGACTGGAGAAGAATCAATGCATTTGAATCATGGTGTTGGTAAAGAATATTTGAAATCACCACTTGGCTGCCAAAAGAACAAGCAAACCTGTCTTGGAAGAAATACAGCCAGAATGATGCTCAGGAGTGACTTGATCTCACTTACTTTGAATACGCTATCAAAAGGGACCAATCCCTGGAGAAGGACATTATGTTTGGCAAAGCAGAAGGTCAGCAAAAACGAGGAAGACCCTCAATAAGATGTACTGATACCAGGGCTGCTACAATGGGCTCAAATATAACAGCATCATGAGGATGGCACAGGATCTGGCAATGTTTTGTTCTAACTTTATGGCACCTAATAGTAACAACAGTCCTGGTTTGTCGCTGTGGGTTAATGCACCGGGCTGCAAGGTTGGTTTGAACAGCAAGGTCAGCAGTTTAAACTCAGCAGTCGCTCCTTGGAAACCCTATACAGTGTTGCTCTGAGTTGGGACTGACTTGACTGTACTTAACAACAGCAATAATAACAACATACACACAGAGCATTGTTCCAAGTCAGAATCTTCTTGATGGTGATGAGTTTGGGTTTGTTTTATATACATACAGTATAATACTGTCACTATTACCAATTGTTATCCAATTGATTTCAACTCATGGTGATCGCCCATGTGTGGGAATAGAAGTGTGCTCCATAGACTTGCCAATGGCTTTTTTTTTTTTTTAAAATAACTCACCAGACTTTTCTTCTCAGGTGCCAGTGCTTAACCCTCCAACCTTTCAGTTCACAGCAAAGCACAGTAATCCTTTGATGTATCCTGACACTCCCTACCACTATTCTCCCACCAGAATTCTTGGGTTATCTTAGATAGAGGAGCTCAGGTAGTATAGTGGTTACAGGTCGGGCTGCTAACCTCAAAGTCAGGAGTTCAAAACTACCAGCCATTCCATGGGAGAAAGATGAGGCTTATTGCTCCTGTAAAGATTTACAGCCTCGGAAACCCTA